CCAGATCTGAAACTCTCTATGGTTTGCCTTGCTTGTTTGTCATTCCTGATTCCAGTCTTCCATGTAAAAAAGCAGTGATGCAGACTGTGCCTAAACCAGAAGCTCAGGGCCTCGGCTGCCACCGAAGGATGATGATTCTTCCAACGACAAAAGAGCCGCCGGACAGCTTGAATCTCCCAAAAGGACACCGCGATCATCCAGTTCTCCACTGCCTGTTCACGGGCAATTCTGATGGAATGCAACCCAGAGTTTAGACAGAGGATCAAATTTTTGCTGCACTAGAAAAATGCCTGAGGATGGGGGTGCCAAAGCCAAATTGACACTTGCAGCTACGATATGCAACATAGTTTTAGCGCATCGCACCAACTCCTGATTCCAGCATGGCGGTGCTCACCCATTCACCTCACCTTGACTCTATCAGCACGCGCGTATGATGCTGCCATGTCCTGAGGCATGTAGCTTTCAAGCGGAACAAAGCATAGTCTTCATGGTCTGCCCAATCAACAAGCCCCAGACACTGTTCGTTTGGCAACTCATCTAAGGGAGTATGGTAGCTGTTGTCCACCTCCACAGTCCCATCTGCACCACAGCAGAAATGCAAATAAATTGTTCAGTCTGGCTCGCTCAAGATCAATTGAGCATTGAAGGAAGTGTTATCTGTGCCATACACAGACCACGGGGAGAATCGTCAAGACCGATGGTGGCTCTGATGCCTGGTGCTCTGGTGGCTCTGAACATACAGTACTGTTGTCTTGAATAACACTGACCCAATCCAGTAATCAATACAGAAAGCAGTGGAAACAGTGCTCAGAGGGGTGCATAGCCTTGGCTGTTTACAGAACAAGCTCTGAGTGTGTAAGAATGCTGCCCAGCACAACTGCCCACAGTTGCCAGGATCACTGCCACAAAGAAAAGATCAGAGGGTGGCCCGAAAGGTGGGCCCACCCGCCACTTGATGCTCCCATGATGCTCCCATGCTCACTTGGTTTTACATCTGCACACCTCTCTATGCTGCCGATGCATGCCCCAAATCATGCCCAAAAGTGTTGCAGGTGTTACCACTCGCCTGACAGGGGTACTCCTTGGAGTTGCGCCATTGAGTTCATATTGTCACAAGGACAAACAGGGCCAGGTTGGTTGTTGCAGACTGCAGTTCGGCAGTCTACTGATGGTGCTTCCACTACCCCACGTGTACTGCAAAGTCCGTCTCCATGAAATTGATTTCTTGCAGCCAAATCATCTTCAAGATTCACCCACTCATCTGAATGGCATCTGGTTGGGAGTGGAACCGGTTCTTGTTGCTCAAACCGCACAACTGTGGAATCCATTGGCGCCATACAAGATTGAAGGCAGTTGGTTGCCACATCGCCACTGGTTGTGCAAGGCAAGGACACACCGTTTCAATGCCCAATGCCAGAAACGTGCACATTCCTGCCCATCGTTTTAGTTTCTGCGTGTCAAGAAGCTTACTGGATATCCTGATTTCATGAGCCTCTGGCAAAACGAAAGGGACAAACAAAGAATGGAAACCTGACGTTGACACTTCAGCTCTAGACGTTGGTTCAGACAGCAGGCAAGCATGGCAGTCACCCAAGTCCGGATGCTGTTCTCAACATTCACAGAATGCAGAAAAAGGTCTGTTCGTTTGCTAGAGCTCTCACCATTCATACAAATGACGCTCTCTTTGCAGCTTTGTCCTCCAATTTGGATCTGTGTCAAGGCTGAGTTTGAGGAGAAAGCGGTAATAGTGTGTGTCTTCCGATGGAACAATGCCATGATCTTCAAGAACAGTCTCGTATGCACTCAGAATGTTCACAAGATTCACTCCCCCTGCATTCAAATTGGCACCAAATATCATTCACTGTTAGCACCACAAGAACTGGCAATCACAGTAGAATCGTTTGATACCAGCGCTCTTTCCCCAAATTGTATTGAACTCCAATATTGGATTGCACTCTCCGGCCCTTCTTTCTCTTGCAGAATTGGAACACTGGCATGCTTCACTTCCAAGCATCTGATATCTGTATGTCCAAATTATTCTGTGCACGTTCATGCAGTGCCATAGACTTTGTTGGTAGCGAAACGTGATGCGCATGCCCACCTGCAGCATGGTTTTCAGCATCTGTGCACAGGATACAACAGCACCCTCCTAGAAAAACATCTTGAAGCTCATGTTGCCAGCCATCACCTACCTGGGCTGAAGCCTTGCCTGTGCTCCTTCTGCGCTCGCGACTCTGCCAGATCAACGATGTCTTCCATGATCCTGAAGTCGAGGTCTGAGTACGGACCCTCACTTGATGGAAGCACGTTGTAGGTTTCCATTGTCGCAAGCGTGGTTTGGTTTCCACAGGTCGGCGCAAGAGCCGTGCGTCTGGGTGACGGCAGGTATGCAAAGTCACCGAAGAAGGAAAATGCGCAGGACAGGAAAGGAAGCCGTAGGGTAGGTGACGCACGATGCTCGTGGAGCCCAGGCCTCCAAGGAATGACGTGCAATATAGAATTCGTGCCTTTGTGATCATGGGATAGCCGCAACACTTCTTCATCTAGAAGTGCTTACCGCACAGCTGCATGGTCACATGACTCCTGACTCCGGAAGCCCCATCTCGATTGGCACTCTGGAGTCTCGCGGTGACTCCCTCCTGGTGCCACATGCGTGGCTGGGACGAAGACCTGCCGACGGAGGACGCACCCGGTCAGGGTGTCTCCGGACTAAACAGAAGGCGAATGTGCCCACTGTCACCTTTGGCGTGGGCGAACATAGCAGGCGGGGAAACAGTCTGAAGTTCGGTATTCTCGCGGGGCCGCATTGGCGGAACGCGGCCGTGGTCTGTCACGAAACTACCTACAGCGGACCGCACACTGTGCTCCATGCAAAGCAAAAAGCAGCTGCCCCATTGCGCAGCTCTGCGCCATGGCACTACTTCGAGCCGCGCGTTGCGCTCCGTCGGCGCTCTGCTGACCGTCTTTCTCCCCGCCGTGCCGCCGTGCCCACCTGCATCTGGCACGCCCGTCGCCCCACATGCGGGAGGCAGGCAGCTGCCTCGGCCCTGTCCGCCTGGCACCGAGCGCTGCCGCGGCCTCGGGCTGTCGCAAGTCAGTGAGACGAGTGAGGAGGACGCGTGTCGTCGACTGTGACCGTGGTTGGGACGTCCCACAGGAGGGCCGGGCAGTCGTCAAGCGGGACGTCGCGGGGCACGACCCACTGTATCCGGACTGGGCCGCCTCTGGCCCCCGCCAGCAATGCTGTCATGCAGAAAAGCCGCCTCATTCCGTCAAATGTGACGGAAAATGACTGTTTTGTGGGCATGCGGGGTTCATGGTCGAGGGCTTCAATCATTTCGTGACATTGATCAAGTCGCTGGCTTTACAGGTTGAAGGCGATGTTGGCCTTGACGCCATGCACACTGTCTGGTCGAGACCCGATACTCCAACGTTGGGCGCAGAGTCCAGCGCACCAGAGGCACGGCTTCCTTGACCTGTGAGTGGCGGCCGGGGCCGTGCCCAGCAGGGTGCTTTTGGGTGGATAGGCACACGAATAGAGAGAATGCCGAGCATGTCAAGGATGTGCAGAAGGGTAGCAATTCGCAACAAGTTTGGTGAGCAGCCTGCCCGCCTTGTTCAGCTGTTGAGGAGTCCACTGTGAGGGGATTAGCAGTGTTTCTGCGGGTCGACCCGCAGGTTCCATGGGACATCCCGGGCTACTGAACTAGTTTATGGGGTGCAAGCGTTGTTTGCTGGCCATGAAGGCATGAAGGAGGCATTGCATTCCCGCCCATCCCGTTTCAATTCTCCCTTTCCTGTCATGTTTCAAATTCCCCGGAATCTGCCCCAGATCTGGGCCAATCCACCCATTCTATGCAGATGATGACAGATGAGTGGCCTTCGCATTGTGCGGCAAGTGCAATGGTTGCGAACGAGGGCCATGATTTATGGCGCGAGTTGTGCTCGTCTTCCGCTTCGTTTTGGGAACGAGCGTGTGCACTGGGCTGATGGGCATACAGCTGCGGGCCCAGGACAACACCAAATATTTCGATGTGCTCCAGACTCATAGCCTAGCATACTGCTTGTATTTTAGAGGGCTGCCCTGCCTGACTATACTGAAGCACGCGGTGGCTATTCTGTCCAGCTGTGTTCAACATCGGTGGTCACCACTGTGCAATTGTGGATGGAGAAGAAAACGTAGCTGTGGCAACAGCAACATGATGCCGACTATGGCCAATACGCACAACAGCTGATCCTGCATCAGAGGCGAACACCAGGGACGGACGGACAGCGTGCTCCATGCACGGTCTGACGGCGCACAACGCGGGTGCAAAGTGCCCATCATAGCCCTTGAAGGGATTTGGGCAATGTGTTGCTATCTGGTGCGATATTGAACCAAAAAAGAGTGGCACGAGCCATACATATCACGTTTCGCCTTGTAGGCCGGCATGCAGGGCTATGCCATGCTCCCCTGTGCGCAAAGCCGCTGCACAGACCTGTTTGGTAATAGCCGATGGTTGCCTGCCGCGGTTAACAGCACATTCCGCGTCCTTGCTGAAGACCGCTACACTGTCGCTGGAAGAGCTGGGAACGTGCAGCATACAGTTCACGACAAACAATTCTTCCCCAATATCAAAGCTGCATATTCTTTCACAGAGCTTTGACGGATTCCAAACAGTTTTAGGAGTGTCTGTGGTGTTCGTATCTATGTTCCAGCCTGAGCACTGGACAGTGTTCAGTGGACACTAACACTATGAATGAATTACCCCTGCAAGGACCCCTCCTACATACAACCCTCCGCACTGCCCCCTCTCCGACCTTGTTCGCTGGTTGCAGCAATCAACTGGATAGCGACCAACATCGCAGAGCTATCGAACTGTCAAACATCGTGTCATAGGGTCATCGCACCGATTTCCTGTTTGAATCATGCAGGGGCCAAACTCGGTCCCTCAGACCCGCCTGCATGTCAGCTTGCAAAATGAATCCCAAGATATGTCAACTCTCCATGAACAGCGCGTTCAACCAGGCAGCTCGAACCCGAAGCCCGTCAGCAACGCCACAATGCCAACTAAGATCGCCAGGCCCGCAGCAATTGTTGACAGATGGCGCAGCAGCAGGGGCCTCTCCTTTGCTGCAGCCTCAGAGGCAGTTCCTGCAGAGCAACATGCGCACAACATGTCCATTATTGTGACAACTACTGTTTGCCGTTCTTTGTTCTCCATCATAAACCAACATGTTGCTTTTCACATCTTATGCCATCCAGACTTGTCACAGCTGTATTTGTTCAATGTACCAAACTGGCTGTCGAATGCAAACTCCAGCATCCAGTGTCTAGGACAACCCACGTACATATTGTGCAACACAACTAAGCGCCACCACCAAGCATAGCCCCACGTTCTTTGTATCGTTCGAAATCTATGCATTCTCCTTTTCAGCACGACACCTCAAATTGTCGCAGAAAGCACTGAGGAATATTGTGGGCTGCTGCAAATGCTCGCTTTTCCTTGGCTACCAAAACGTCTTCGAAAATCATGATGCTATCATGAGCAAACAAACGTGACTCACACATGTCACTGGACCTTGGAGCTTGTAGTGATCCTGGCAATTAGTGGTCCACAAAGACATTTGAGAAAGGGCTGCCTCTGGGCAAGGTGCCTGTCACACAGTTTCGCGTGCGTTGGCATGCTTTGCCCTAGATACCACTTACCTATAGCAAGACTGTATCCTCCCATTGCCATGACAGTCCCGAACACAAACATGCCAATATACATGAAGGCTCCTAGTCTAGTAGGTAGAGCCAAGGCTGGTAGCACCACAAATAGGGCATCGGGATGGAGACCATACACAAAGCCCATCATATAAGTGCCTAAGCCTCTGCGTTTTGCCATTGCACCATCAGTGCTCCCCTGCCCATCCAAGCCTGCACCAGCCAAGGAACGACCTAAAGTCAGCAACATCAGTCAAAGGTGGTAATTCGATAATGCAATGTAGTGACAATCGACTGCCATGGGAACGCAAATGCTTTGGAAGTTCCATTGTGTTCCAGTGAATCCAGTTATCCAGCTTCAGCAGTTTAGATGACCATTGGCACCTGGACAGCCCATTGGTGGTTGCCGAACGCAGGGACACCTGCGCTTGATGCAGCCAGTTAGTAGCACAGTCAGCAGGAAATCGAGCCCAGAACCCAACGCCTGGTCGCTGCAAAAAGTACGATACCTCCACAGATCACTTCCCATTGTCCCTTGAATACATGTGTGCAATTCTTGTGGCGTTCAGTACATACACGCCTCTACCAATGAATACCAAATGTGCACAGCGCAGGATACCAGAAAAATGGAGTGCGAAGACAACACAATGCACATTATGCCATCTTGTCATGCCAACAGTGGGCCGCTTGCATGGAAAGACATGATCCTCACCAGCCACTAACGCAGACCCTCCTGGCACATCCACGTGCTCCTCCACTTGCATACTCTCATACAAGCCCACTAGACCAATGGCAATCAGAGTGCAGCCCACAATGGCTCCTGACCACTTGGACAGCACAGGGACTATGCCCTGAAACCGCTCCTGCAAAGAAAGCGAGTTCAACCCCTTTTGGGAGCACTGTGGGAAAAACTGAAGCACACCAGAAGCTAAGAGGTCTTCAATTTGCACTTAAGGACACAAGCCACATCCAACAACGCACAGACTCCAAAAACTTGATCACCTGCCAAAGTTGTTCTTGTTAACATTAACTTCTTGTTAACATCTCATGACCTTGGATGCCATTATTCAACGTAGCCCACAGACCGTGAGCATCCTGACCGTTTACGCAAGTCTAACACTGTAGCCTGCAAAGATTTAATGCACAGCACAAGTCTTGCAGAAAGATCAAATTCAGCCCAAATGTACAGCTCACAGGTTCTGTTCCAAAATGTGGGTGTTCCTCCTCACTTTCAGAAATATAAAAGCCAACCCCAAGAGCAGCTGCCCTGTTGAGTGCCCAAAACCCCACAGGGCGCCCAAGGCTGCCGCGATGGACTGACTCTTGCCAAGCGTCAAAGGAGTGAGACCCTGCACAAGCAAAGCACAACATGTTCTCATAGGCTCACCCCCAGGTGAAAACAAGCCAATCGCATGAGCAAGGCACTTACTCCCTGCAAGTCATTCTTATTGAGAAAGCAAAACTATTCTTTGGACAGTTTTTGCTGCTCTGTTGAAATCTGGGCTCATTCTCACTGCATTTAATTGGCGTGCACACTTTCATCTGCACTTTGAGGTTGATGAACGCTTTGGCAGGGCCCACAGAATGCCAGGCTGATGAGTTACCCATACAGTCAAGGGACGCCGCTTGACACTTAGTTGGATGCCAACCAGATTCAGACAGCAAAACGTCCACCGATTAGCGACTATTCACATCAACAGTAGTGTTGCAAGGTTGTGGTGAAGAATATCTACACAGCACAGTCTTCTCCACCACATCCTTGCCAACAATAGTTTTGAAGTGGGCACAGGCAAAGTGCCAGTTCAGTAGCATAGCGATGTGCAAGTAGAGAAGCACTTAACTTCTTTACACGCACCGCTAGATGGTCGGGTCCACAAAGGGTATGCAGAGTACCAGCCCAGAGGCCTGCCCAACCTCCCCTCACTGCTTCTCTCACTCCTGCCGGACCACAAAGACAAGAGCAGAGACAATCAAGTCCAGGTGAAGGTGCACTCGTCTCCAAGATGCAACACCAAAATGCGTATTAACAAGGCAGCCATCAGCATCGCCGTGAAAGCGCAAGGGCACGGATTTACCGCAATGCCCTTGATGTCGCGTTGATTGGGCCAACACTTCAACGGCCCTGTGTGTGCCCCCGGAGTTTCCAGACCGCGCACTGGATTCGCTTGCATCCAGAGCTCCCAGTGCCCCATTCAACAGCCCGCATAGATCTGCAGCGCTGAGTAAAGGTGTGTTCGGAAATTTGGCATGCGCCCAAAATGTTGAAACACGCTCCGTGCCATCATCAAACGCCTGACCTGCGGACGTCATCCTCGCCGTGCCATGTGCCGCCAGGGACGCGAACCGTCCCGAAGGCACAGCGGTGCAGTGGAGCGCCGCCAACAAGCAGCAGGAGAGGAACATGCTCCCGGCGATCCGAGCACAACGAAACGCCCACTCATTTTCCCACACAGGCTGTCCATTCCGCTCCACCGCCTGCCTGCCTTCCGACCTCCCCACTTCAATCCCAACTTCCGACGATGACGCCAAGCAGCGCGCCACCCTGCACCGCAGCCTCCTCTCCTCGGGTCCATATCTTGTTCGCCAGCAGCGATCGACCAGGTTTCGGAATGGCGGCTTGGCGCACCAAAAGGGGGTGCATCGACCCACTAGGGGGGCCTTCATGCGCAAGGGGAGCCTTGTAGGGCCCCCCATTCATCCGTTCGCCGCTGCTGTGTCTTCTAAGGCCAAAAACCTCAGCCACAGCGGCCCTGGAGCATTCGTCGTTGCGCGTGGAGGAGCAACGCGGTGGGGGCACGGAGATGAGGAGATGGCCCTGGGCCTTGGGCCCCCGATACCAACACACCAGCGCCTGGCCATGATGTGGCGCTGATGGCGCTGTGAATCACTGCCAGTGATGTGTCCGTGGGGATGGCGGAATGCGAAGGGCCTTACAGAAGGGGGCAGGGCAAAGAGCCCGTCACGTGCTAAACCCAGGGTACAGTCAGTGTCCGCTAGACATGAACATGTCACTAGAGTGCAAATACGCTGGCGCGGGATGGGAGCGGGAAGCGCAACAAAGAAGTGCTGTGCATTAAACAGTGCGCTGCTCGAAAACGTTGTGGCAGGGAAAATCTGTCTTCTCTTGTGCAACTGAATGTACTATAAAACGTTGGAGCGTTGGGGTATGGATGTTCTATGAAACAGGATGGGTCAGAAGTCAACACAACAAATGCCCAGCAGGTCGAATGACTCACGGGGTACATGGGGTATACGAACACAAAGGCCGGGGACGAAGCACGTACAGATCAGCAACCATCTACACACTGTTGGTAGCAACCATTCACATGGACGTATTCAAATGCCCGAATGGCTGTCAGCAACCATTCGCCCGAATGGCTGTCAGCAACCATTCGGGCACCTCGCACAACGCCTATAAATGTGTACGGCAAACTGTTACCTCTGTTATCGACTCTTCGACTCTTTCCAAGTTGGGAATCCCATTTTGGCTGGAGCGCATGGACTTTGAGAACCTGGTAAAGGCGGCAAGATTCTGTCTCCCCTCATGCACAACAGAGACAGGGTTGTGAAAGAAGCAATTACCAGGTAACCCAGAAGGGAAGATGCACATGCTTGTGCTGTGCAGAAGACCTTGAACATTGCATTATCGATGTGGCATCGAATCCTTGTTTCTATTGTCAACCCCTTGCATGATCTGCACAGGCAAGAACGGCTTACAATAACGCATCAATCATGCAAAGCAGAAACTGGGCTTACAATAACGCATCAATCATGCAAAACAGCAACTGGTGCTTGCGACTGTTCTTTACAATCCCCCACTGAACTCTAGTTGCAACTGTACTGACCATCTCATATTCTGCCCCTAAAGCACAACAGTGGGGAATCACCATCTTGTCTTTCTCGTGCAATGGGAGCAGCTTCCAATAGTCAATTTGCGTTGGACACTCACACATGTCCACTGCTTCCAGGACATGGCATTTGCAAAGTCTGTCCATCTCTGAACAGGAAGAAAGCACCTCAGTCGTACATGACTGTCTCACCAAGAAGAAACTCTCCTTGGCGACAGAGAATAGCACATCTCGGCAGAACCATGCTGTACTCAATTAGGCCATACCAGCCAAACGAGGCATGAATACAGTGGACCCCAATGCGCTGAGAAATGGAAAATAGCTCAAAATCCATAAATAAGTGACTCATGGAATGTCTATACTAGGCATACACTGGACAAATGCCAAGCCTTTCAAAGGAAAACACTCCTTTCTCAGATGACATACAGTTGCACGATCTCCTGTCACAACACAAAGAAAGAACTTCCGTTGGCACCAACTCCACATCCAGTGCAAAGCGACAATCCCTTTGAAGCAAAATTCCGCGTGACTGCCTTGGAGGCCATTGTTACAGTTCTTGAATAAATGTCTTGTCCTGGTAGTATGTCTTCTCTCCCAATACCTTCTTTGCATTTCGGGCTTCGTACATCTTGTTGTTTTCAACAATGCGCCGAATAATGGAGCCAGTGGTCGTGTTGTTAGGGCTTTTGATCTCCCTGTGCACATTCAAGCAAGGTCATGGAGATCAGCTGTGGACGTTCAGCTCTAGAGCTCAACTTCAAATGACAATGGATGTTGCTAAACCTTCCATGGTAAAGGGCAATATGCAAGGGTTATTGGACACACAGCAAGGATGCAAGTATGCCTGCCATTACCTTGCAGGTGCAAGGGCATTGCTTCAACATTTTGACAACTGTCATCCTGCAGAACCATTGTCGCCTGCATGTCATTCTGCAAGATGTCTTTATGATGTCGTGCAAGCTGTCATGTCTGCACGATGTAATTGCACAAGCCATCCTGCATAATGTTGTCAACCAAGTCAATCTACAGGTCATTCTGTGGGTTGGCGATCTCCCACAGGTATTCTATCATATCTGGTTGACAGCTGCAGAGCATGGCACTCAGAAACAGCAATCCAGCAAATCAATCAAACAGCCTAATACTCCAAGTTCACCAGTCCCCTTTGGGCCACACTGGGGTTGACAGAACCACTGTGGTTTTGCAGACTGCAGCATGTCCTTCGGCTAAAGCCATGCCAAAGTTCCAAAGGTAGTTGCTCCCACCTGTATATTCCCTTTGCCGTGGCTACGTCGTATCTGCCCTCCTCCACTGGTCCCAGATCAGACGTCTCACTGAGAGTCCCACGAACCACAAGGGAAATGTTGAAGGTCCGAATCAGATCTTCAGTTATGTTGGGTGGCACCCCTGGAAGCATAGCATCACATCAGGCAGCGAACGAAGAGGGCATCGACAAATTCAAGTGCACGTTTCCACAGGACCATCCCAGGCAAGCAGGCTAGTTTCCTTTGAAAGGACACAGTCCCATATTCTGAGTAGAATGTTTGCTTGCAGTGCATGACATACCAATGATGACCTCATCCACAAATTTGCAAGCCAGAACACTGAGGCTCCGCTCGTGCAAATTCATGATTGGCATATGCGGTCCCCTGCGCTCCATTATGCACTCGTCCCCGTGAAGACCGACCAACAAGAAGTCTCCCAATGCCTTTGCCTCCTAAAAAAAATGCAAGCAATGGACATTAGTTGACATGTCTTGCTGTCAGAGATATTGCATCTGATCATAAAGGAACACAAACTGACCAGTGGTTTACCTCATATGCATCCCATGGATTTCAAGAATGCGCAATGCCATGTTCAAGCAACCTCCCTGGATGAAACATGGTGGGAGTGGCAACAGAGATTTCAAGGCATGCAACACATTGCCACAACCAAACACCACAACACCACGTCCTGGCACAGTTGCCTCACACAGTTGCAGCACTCTCTTGGCATGTATGCAGGGTGGAATACACGATGCAAAGCCCAGTCCACAGAGCCTCTCCTGGCAAGACAAGGTGTATCCATACCTTCAATATTGTAACATGGCCCGCATGGAAGACGTCGAACGCCCCATCAATGTACACAATTTTTGCATTTGGCTTTGCCACACGGCCTTCAGAGAACTGCACTATTCTCCTTGATGTTGGCATGAAATGAGAAACGCCAATCTTCTGAGGTTTCCTGAAAGCATCTCCTTGGCCCTCCAATGGTATACCCTCCATGTCACTGCCCTCACTGAACTGACGCGCAATCTGAATAATATTGACAGAACACAAATCAGCAAGTGGCAAGGCATATCCAGGCTCTAAGTGCTCAGCACAACATACAAGGGCCCCAGTCCATGCATAATCTTGCACTGTCCTGATTCTGTAAAAGAAACAATTTCGGCAGTCATCCAATTCAGTCACATCTCGAACGTTGTGACAATCCAACTCAGTTGCTGGCTCAAATGCATAATCTTGCACTGTCCTGATTCTGTAAAAGAAACAATTTCGGCAGTCATCCAATTCAGTCACATCTCGAACGTTGTGACAATCCAACTCAGTTGCTGGCTCAAATGCCAACAAATCGCTGTGCAGCAGAATACAAGGTGGACACATGCCACCCTCCTTGCAGAATAGCAGCAATCACACCCGCTATGAGGCAGTGCTCCATGGCTGATTTCCTCCCATTCGCACAGCCCCAGATCTGGGTGCACGCGGAATAGGTGGCAAGGAGTCTCAACAAAATGCAGGCAAAGTGCCGCACCTCCCTGTGCGAAGGATCCACTTGTACGAACTTGTTCACACGAGTGCAAGTGAGCATGCGACCCACAATATCTGTGGTACTGACACCTTCAGTCCTCTTGATCTAACCCAAAACAGGGCGTCAACAACACAGTTCAATCAACACAGGGTGTTTGAAACAGATGCAGTACAGCAGGAGTACTGCCACAACATGGGGCCTTCACACAGCTACTTGCAAAAGCAAGTGGACCTTACAGAGGGCCCATGCATTCCCATTTCATAGGATATCTCGCAATGACCAAATGAAGTGAGGAAAAGCAGCATGCATTTTTGGACCACAACTTCCTTGGCAACACTGTGAGCTCAGGCATCGACGTTTTACTGGCAAAACCTTCCTCTTTAGGGGACAATGGACTTGCTAGGAACAACCACAGAGGTGTGGAACTTCCAAGCTGACCAGGCCCTCACCATCCTGAAACGTCTCAACTTCTTCGCATAAGCGTATGCATCGGTGCCGTCTGGAAGCAAACAAGGGTCATCTCCATGCACAATGTAGTCTATTCTGTGCTTTGTAAAAAGCTCCTGTGTGAACTCAGGTGAGAGGTCATACGGAACACCTGAAAATGCACAACTCATGTCTGAGTGTTATGGCTGCCGGAGAAACACTGCCAAATTGACACTGGAACGCCTCACTAGGGGAGTGCAGGAGACACACTTGCATGTGTTGTTGAATTCTTGTTCGACTGCATTCTTCAACAAGACAAGGTGTTGCCTAAGTGCCTTGACCCCCAAGGTGATGGAGGGGATTCAGAAGACCAACGAGGTTGTCGAAGGTTTCAGAAGTCGAATCATAGTTTAGAAATTGTGCAGGTTGAACCTACCACACCTGTCAACACCTCGTCCACCCATTTGACAGCGTCCACAAGCAAGTATCGTTCATCGTCACACAGTACTGGTTTGCTTCCCTTGCACCGCTCCACTTCGCTATCAGGTATGAGCCCCACAACAAGTTCATCCCCAAGAACCTTCGCCTGCACGTGGAAAGGCGTCAGTCGTTGTGCTGAAGAGCACCCGCCTTGGGACAGCAGAACACAGATCAGTGGCACAGGACAGTCCATGAATGCATTAACCTCTGCATGGCTACATGCAACGAAGACAATGCAGCATGTTTAAGTTTTCAGAAACTTAGGCACGAAATACAGGTTTGAGCAAGCCAATGTGGGACAGAGGCGGTCAATAAATGGCAATACGCTGACCTGTCGAAGTGCATTCGCGTGTCCGTAGTGCATCATGTCAAAGCACCCATCCAGGTACACCCTGATGGGCTGCCTCTCTGCCACACAACGGAAACAATTAACAGCAATCCGAAGGAACAAGTCCCCGCATCGCTGTTGTGGGCGCAAAGGGGCGCACAGACAGCTGCGCACCCGGAAAGCTGGAGATGCTCAAAGCAAACATTTGTCGAGTAGACGGCATCGACACGAAAAACCTGGTGGGCATGCGCCCGCGCCTTACTCCGCCTGCGGCTCGCGTGGCGCTGCAGCTTCTTCGCCACCCACCCGCTGATCGTCCCCGGTCGGTACTGGTACTGCGCAAGCGCCAGCAGAATGTCAGAAAAAACACAGCCCTGATTGCAGCGAAGCCGCCCAGATGTTCCGGTATGGCCACCAACCTCGTAGGGAACAAAGTGCTTGTACGTCATTCTGGACACCCAGAACACGACTGCGGCGGCCACAGGGGCGGACACGACCACAGCAGGCCACCACAGCCAGCCACCCCAGGCGTCGCGGTCCCTTCCCGAGGTGGTGGGTGCCCCATGATCGCAGCGCGTGGAATCGGGGCCGCTGCGAGTGCCCATGGCCCACACTCGTACAAACTATTCTGTTCGACTTCGGGCGGGCTGCGACCGCAAGCGGTCGACCACAGGCGAGAAGGTTGCCCACTTGGCGTCGGGGTTTCGTGCCAGAAACTTATGCGGGTCCCGACCACGCATCTTTACCAAAATGCCGGTGAGTACATTGCCGCTTCATGGCCCCCCGGGGCATATTTCGCGTTTGTTCCTCTCTTGCCAGAGTAAGTGCCGTCGCCCTGGGTGTTGGCCAAGAAGGGTCACAAATGTCCGGTGCCCTTAATTTCCGGACATGAAGTCATGAAGTCAAGTGAAGGTCATAAAGATGTTTGTCGGGTTAGGGTTGTTTTGGTTTTGAGGGTATTGAGTCCTTCATACCCTTTATGATATTTATAAACTCTTCATGATATTCACATCCGGAAAAGACAGGTATCAGGAAAAATTTAGAAGGGTTGAGACAGGTGCTAAACAGAAGGAGGGGAGAATTCGGTGCCCCTGCCTATGATCAACGGGTTTTGTTTGTTTGGTTTGTTTTTCACCATAATTCTATCAGAGATGGTATTCCCGAAGGAGCATTTGCGCAATACAACCAGGTGTGGCTTGTGTGTATTTAATGCTTGCAGTACTTTGACGGCCTTTTTGATGTTCTTGATAATTTGACACGCAAAGTAATTGTTGAGTTCCATTCTACGCAAGAGTGCAAGTATAGGATTCTACCAAGAATTAGAATATGGTCCACCCGCCCTCATTGCTATGATAGGCCTTGTTGGTGCAATCCACCCCACTGGCATCAGTGGCGAACTTGGCAACTAACTTGAATTTGTCTGCTTCAAAGTTTGATAGCCTCCATTTTTTTGGCATCTGAATTGACGTTTGTGCCACAGTTAGATTGGTTAGTTAAATGATGCCTATTAAATGATTGCTTAGAAACACCAGAAAGAACCTTGATTTGGACAATTTGCTTGCTCAAAATTTTTGAGCATGCAATATTGCCAATATTATCTAGCATGTAAACCGCCAATTAGCTTCAAGTTAGATACATGTCATGTCAACTATCATTGATAGTTGACAACTTCCTGCATGTGAAATCGAATCCCAATAGTTGTTAGTGGTGCACTTTGGAGGTGGCCATTCAAGGGTGCCATCCGGTCCGTTAAATCCGGTTCGTTAATTTTTATCAGCTGTCCGTTAAATTTCGTTAAAGAAAAAGGGAGAAAAATTCAGAAAAAAGGAAAAAAATCCAAAAAAATCGAAAAAAAACCCAAAAAATCACAACAACTGCGGCTAGTTGAAAATCTACTATGCATAGGTTGGAAGAAAATACAAACATACTCTCTAATAGCGAATTCCATAAACTATAAGTATGACTAAAACCCAAAAATCCCCAAAAAATCCAAAAATCCGCTATTTTTTGGTTAATTTTTGTCTTTTTTCATTATTTTCCGTTAATTATCGGAAAATTAACGGAAATTAACCTCCGTCCGCTATTAACGGATCCGGGTGGCCACCTCTAGTGCACTTGAACGACAAATTTTGATTGCCGAAATGTTGTTTGCAAACCTGACTATTGGTTTGTTGTGGCAAACAACAATTTATTGTTATTATTATGCACGGGTCTAGTGTAGGGTTTTCCCCACCCAGGACATATTAGTAGACTTGGTGTAGGGGATGCTTTACAATGCAATTTCTTTATGATAACTCCCTTAACCTGGATATCACAAGGCTAGATATCTGCATGCATTGTGCAAGCGCCATTCTCTGATTAACCCAGTAATGTGGCATCGTGCAGTCAACCGGACTACCCACATATTCTGATATAAGAACCTTTTTTGGATAGGGTGCTTGTCCCTTTTAAGCCATGGACCCGCCTCGTAGGGCACCTAGGACTTTATCGGGTCCTAGGCGGGACCACCCTGGCTTATTCCCATATGTAATAATGTATTATAATATTTAGGTTGGGGAATTATAATATATCTTGAGCAAGGCGTCCCCCCTACCAAGAGGTAGAGGTAGGGCGCCCACCATGTTGGGTTTGTTTGTAACATTTCGTCCCCATCAGGGAGATAGAATGTCCTCGTCTTAGTGCATATATATGGGAACAAGCGCATCATGGCTTGGGAGCCTGCTATATATGGGGATTGGCTATGTGTTGCAATACATGCCCAATCGTTGCAACGTTTTGGGTGCAAAAGATATGCATCAAAGAGAAAGAGTGGTTGTTATTATATGGAAAACGTTCTTGCATGCAACCCTGATTAAAACTCTTCCTTTTAGCTTATATGCTGGAATATTAATCGCTAATTTATAGTGTACAAGTTTCTACTCTATGGCCCTCCCGGCCTGCTAAATGTCAACAAAATTCTAAGACATGCAAGAATCACCTTGCGCGTCCCCCAACATGACCACCACGGCCAGCACATCCCCATGCTTGACCCCTTTGGGTATACCCTGGGTGATACGTGAGGATTGTTGGTGTGGGGCTCCTGCTGTACCGTACTAACTGGTACCCGGGGGTACCGACAACCCCCTACAATAACCAGCCCAAATAGGGCTACGATTATGATAGTGTAGTGGTTAGGGCTGCTACACCGGTACTAGGGCGGAGGCCACCGGTACCTGGGGTACCCCCCGGTACCGGCGCTCAGGTGTGGCCCCAAGTACGTAGTACTTGGGGTCCGGTGTTGGGTCCCGGCTTAATGGCCTTCGAGCGCCCGCACTGGCAAGCTTCTCTCACCCCCTGTTGCGCGCTGCCGCGCAACATCTGGTTTCGGAGCCGGGTTCTCGCGAACCCGGTGATCTTTTTCAGTCCCACCCACCCGCGCAGTGCGGCCCCTCCCCCTCTATTGTTGGGCCGCTCCGCCTCCCTTCGATCGCTGCCCTCGCCGCATCCCTGCCAATTTCCGCCATCTCCATCGCCATGTCTGAGGAGGCGACTTCCGGCCAGACCATCGGTGATGACGGGGACAATCAACCACTACCGACCATTTCTGCGGCGCAGCCGGGTAGCGTGGTCTCCACGCAACCGATCGGCATACCCCTCCGGGCCCATTTGGCCGAGGGGGGCACCATTTTCGAATTGGCAGGGGGGGGACCTGCCCCCCACCTCCTCCCCTCCTCGGGCAAGTATGCCCCCGCCGGCGCACCCGATCGTTGGGGCGCCCGATGTCTTTTCTCACAGCCTGAACCGGCCTCCTTGCCCCGCTGCCTTGGGGCCGCCTACCCTGCCTGATGCCTGCGCATTGGCTGGGCAACTCCTTCCGTTTTGGAGGAGCATCTCCGCCACATGTTGGCGGGGGTGGGACCCTCCAGCCGCCCTCCCACCTTGCTGAGTTCTGGCCCGATCACGGCCACCGCTCCGCTCGCCCTGATGCCCATCTTTTCGGTGGCTAAATCGGGCTCAATCTCCACTCCTTTGTTGACAATTCCAGCCACCTTGGTGGGTTCTGTGGCGGCCTTGACTGTGGTCCCACCCGCCTCGGAATTGGCGGGGCCCTCTGGTCTTGAGGGCCCGATGGGTACCCAGATTGGTTCCCTGCTCCTTCCTGGTTCGGGATCACGGGGAGAGGCTTTGGCTGTGCCCTCTCTATCTGCTCTGCCGCAGGTTGCCCCGCCCTCCCTCGGATCTGCTTCCACCGATGAGCTCTCTCGCCAGGTGGTGTTCCTTCAGGGCCAGCTGTCCGCCCTGGAGGCCAACCCTCGCAGTTCAACTGCTGGCCCCTCCAGCTCTCCTCCTCTCCCCCGGGGGGTGCCTTCGCTGCCCACCTTCTCCGGCGACCTAAAGGGCAATCGTTGGGACCAATTTCTGGTCCACTTCGATGCCCACTGCCGCCTCTGCCACCGCGACCAGGACGATGCCTACCACATCAACCTCCTCCCGGTGCTTCTCAAGGGGGCCGCTGCGGCTCACTGGTGCCTGCACCTGCAGGCCAATCCCGCACCCACCACCTGGGAGGAGGCCCAAGCTGTCATGCGGTGCGGCCCCTTTGCACATCCCCCCACCTTGCTGGGTCTGACCATGCAGATCCAGGAGTTCGCCGCTCGCCCCCCCACCACTGTCTTTGAGTTTCTCACCCACATGGATACGCTGTTTGGTGAGCGGGGCGCCATGGGGGCTGCTGTCCCAGAGATCGATCAGATCTTCTGGGTCTACAGCGGCCTCCCTGAGCCGCTCCGCACGCATTTGTTGGCTGATCCGGCGGGTCAGGCTTGGGGGGCGCAGTCGCATCAGTAGTTCCGGCAGTTGTTGTGGTCTTTCATTCCCCATGATTGTTGCGTGCCACAGTGAGGGGGCACGCAAAGGGGTTGTTTGACAGGGAAACTGGTTGCCCAGTGCGGGAACTCGAAGGCCATTAGTCCCGGGACCCAACACCGGATCCCAAGTACTACGTACTTGGGACCACACCCAGGCACCAGTACTATAGTACTGGTGGCCACCGCCCTAGTCTGGGTTATTATTATTATTGTTAGAATACGGTATCCGAAGTCCCATTGGACCGGATATCGTATTATTGCCCCATGTACCGTCTAAACCGGTACAATGATCCTTCCCTAGGCCGCATTTCCAGTCGTTCTGCTTCCTCTTGTCCTTTGCCGGTGCGTGATCGCCCAGGTGATCGATTCCTGATAGGGCGCAAGCGCCCCTTCGACGGTGCGGATCCTTCCCGCCCTCCGGCTCGCAGCCGTCGTGGATCCGACCTCCCGCCTGGGGATCCGGCTGAGGGTGTGCCCCTGGCTGGTCGGCTCCCCCACGCCCTCTGGCTGGCCACCCACGCCCGTGGCCCACATGGAGCTTGCGTCTTGTGCTGGGAGGAGTACACCCAGCCCCGGCGGAGGAGCGACCCGCCTCATTGCACCTTCCAGCGGGATCACCGTCGCTGCTTGCCCCCTCCTGATTGGCTGGTGAGTCTCCCTGCATTTCCCCAGTGGTGCTCTTGGTTGTCTGTCCCACTCGGGATTGTGGCGCCCCTTTTGGGCATGGATTCAACTCCTGCTTCCCGCCCCCCTTCCTT